ATATACATGAATCTAATAAAAACTTATTTTTTTTAAAAATGTAAAAATGGGCCCTTTTAACTTTTAACACCCTATATGTGCTTGACCTGTTATAACGTGATTATAGTAAATAGGTCAAGCACTTATGTAGAACATGCAGCTGAATGGGCAAGAGTATTAAAAAGTCATCGTAATGATAATCTTTCTATGTCTGAGTCTATTTCATTACTAACCAATATTATTTTTGAAAGAGAAGTTATAGGCAACGATCTACCCATTGTTACATTTTCTTAGCTTAAGTTAATTGCCGAAGGCAAGAATGATCAATTGAGTTTCTTCTTTAACGAAATCGAAGAAATGGCTTGTTTGGGAAGAAAAAATGAAGCTGAATGAAGGGCTCTTGAATAATCTCTGACATATCAGTATTATTTAATATGCTGGAATCAGTGTATAGCTATACCACTTTGAAATTTGAGAGATGAGTCTACGGCAAATGAAGATAATCTTTTGTAGATAGATTGTGTTAATATTTTGACGAAACTTTTGTATAATAGAGAGAAAAATGAGCAGGAGCCAGTTATTTATAGCTTTAAACAGCTACAAAGAGAAATGGTAGCTAAGAAGTTTAGGCTAAGTAGTTTCTTTGATTCAATCTATAATGTATCACTTCCTAAAAATAGAAGTAGTAAATATTTAGATAAGCTAGATAAAAAATTGGCAATTGAGTGTTATGTTATTTGTGGTAACCAAAATTCTAAACTAACAGCATTTAAAAAAGATATTTTGCTTTTTGTAGATTTGATGGGGGTTTCTACTAAGGCGATCGATGTCTTATCATATGCTGGCATAATGATTTCACGAAGGCATCTTGATAGAGAGAAATCAGCTATTGCTGATAATCATCTATATAAGGTTACTTCATATCTGAAGAATAAAAAAAATAATGCCTTAGTGCTTAACATTGATGATTATCATAATATTCATACTAAACGAACCCTCAATACATGCTTAATATCAAGTGCGGCATATATGACAACCTTGTTGCTAAATAGTGTTGATTCAATGGCCATTCCACGGGTCATACCAAATGGTATATCAATTCATAATCCAAAACTAATTGATTCTGATCTTATTTGCACTTTTTTAGATTCCTATTACATGGGACGAATGGCTAAAACTTTTAATGATCAGTTGTATTACAAAGTATCTTTGAACAAGAAACTTGAAAATATGACTCTTCACAAATACGATGATCGTATAAAAGAATGACAGGAAGAGCGTAAAATGAAAGATACAATTCTTTTAGACTTTTTTGAATTAAGTTTAAAAGAAATAGATTCATATATTATTGCTTTACAAGAAGTTTATAAGATTCCTTTATTAACTAATTACTTAGCTAATTGTGTTATTCTAGTTGTAGCTGATTGGCCCGGGCAGGTTTTTACTTGACAAGCTATTACTCTTCGTTTGCTAAATTGTAAAGATAATATACCCAATGATATATTATCTTTTATTCTAATTATCAGCATTCTTCATATCTAATTGAATTTACTCAAATCAATATTAAAAACTTATTGGGACTTTTTTAATCTAGAGTATCAATATGTTTTTAGTACAAGTAAAATGTTGAGTAAAATGTCAAGCCTGTATCAAATATTCGTTCTTTTAGAGCTAATAAGGGGTGCTTGAAAAGAAATCAAACCAATCATAGTAGGTAAGTTTGATAAATGTTGTAAAGATACTGAGTTTCTATTTTTATTTGAATTATTAGACAATATGGTACCAGTCAGGTTAGATATATACTTGACTTTATTTTGGTCTGGAGATTGGAATTCATATATCGAAGGCGTATTTCGGGTATGGAGTATTTTTTTGAGATTTGAAAGGTGTAACTATAATAAAGCGCCTTTAGCATTTCTTTCAGATATATTCTATTGGAGTCAGAATAATCATCCAATATTAGATGTACTAAAAGATCACTTAGTTAAGTTTACAGATTATCCCGTTGAAAATATGCATAGTAGAATACAACGCCAGACCTTATCTTGTGATTCCCCACAACAACTTTCTAAAATAGCCAAAGTTGTTGACACCAGAAAGACTCTTAGTGGATTTGAAGATGTATTCGTCATTCAAAAAAATCTACATTTGCAGATAATGATCATTTAGCTTTATTAACGAAAAAAGCAGAGGTGTTTCTTCTTGAAACCTTCGGTAATAATTATCGAAAGCTTGGTCAAAGCTCTATCATCAAGAGTCAGAATGAAAAAATCACCTATAAGCTAGCATCGTTAGATTTTACTGTGGACAAAAAGCAAATGCCATTAGGATTCAGCAGCGAGCATTTGCCAGCATATGACAAATGTGATCATTGTCATATGCTATTACATGATGGAACAGATAAAAGCTCTATAGTTATCGCATGCGATCATAGATACTATGAGAGCTGTTCACTATTTCATTAAACAAAAAATGTCTTTATTGTGAAAATGTTCTCAAATTAGATATACAAACTAATGTTTTATCTCTTCTTTTACGATTAAGTAAATTAGATACTAAGAAGTCGAATCTAAAAGAATTTATTGATGCCAACGATGATAGTCCACAAGATCAGATGATATCAGATGAAGATGATATATTAGAAGTGCTTCAAAAAGATAGGCAAGCATTACCGAGAGTAGAGCAAGCTTATTCTACGGCTCTTGAAAGATTTTTGAATATTTAGAATTTATATTTTTTTTTCAATGTAATTTTGAATTAAATATTTTAATCAATAAAAAAAAGTATTTATTTTTTTTAATATAATACTATCAGTTTTATTTTTGGTAAATAAATAAAATAAAATTATATTTATTACTTAATAATTACATACTATATATGTAAAAAAAAAAAAAAAAAAAAGTGCTTGTAATCAATCATTTGTTTAACGAGATTTTTGAATAACTAGTTAATTCTAAGTAATTGTCTATCTCTATATGGTGTATAAACTACCTATACTTATTATTCTATGTGTGATTATTCATATACTATCTAACCACCTTGCCAAGAACTTGTTTCTATTCTTTTGAATGTTATCTAATCTATGCTAAAAGAATCTATTCGATTCATCTTTATATTCCATAATTCTAAGTTGAAATCCTTTAATATAGTATTAACATCATTGTTTTCGCTTGTTCATCCTTGTATTATTTTTTAAGAGTTACACACTTAACATCAAGCTTCAGAAGTGTTCTATCAGTTGGAATTTGCATATTTTCTAATTCTTTTAGAATCCAATTCATCAAATACTTACATATTTGTTGTAGCACTTGAGTTAATTCATATATTTGAGATTGCTATACTATAAAATTTGTAAACTTACTAAAAATGTAAGTATAAAATAAAATAAAATAAAGTGGCATACTGTGTAATAATTTGAAATTTAACTTACTTCTTTTAATATATAGTCAGATTTTTCTAAATGCAATGTGGCAGACTATATATTAAAACTTAGCCAAACATGCACTTAAAGAGATATTGCTTAGGAAAGTAAAAACTTAGCCAAACGTGCACTTAAAGAGATATTGCTAGAGAGGTAAAAATCTATAGGCTTAATATTAGTTTGGCCCAAGAGAAGACGTGCATTTAGAGAGACGTTTCATAGGACGTGCACTTAGGGGAATTGCATTTAGGGGATCTGACTGTATATAATGTTACAAAAAAATAAAAAAAAGTAACTAATGCAATTGTTTGTAGTAAAAGTAAAAGCATTAGTGGATCGGTAATTAGTAAGCAAATTGAAACTGGGTAAGTGAAGCGAAGCAAAGACTATGTTAATATTATAAAAATCGAACAATTTCATTGGTCAGATTGGCACTGAGTCTTCGCTGAGTCAAGATTTACAGATTTAGAAAGCTTGTGTAATGGAGTTTGTCCACCATGCTCAAAATACTAAATATTTACTAATAAAAGAATAACCTGTTTATTGCTCAGAACCACAATATAAGACTGTCTTTATATTTAAAAAAACATAAGAAAGAACATATGAACAATTAAAAAAAATTTTTTTTTAAAAAAACAATAAAGAATTAGAAATTAAAAATGCATTTAAATCAAAAGAATATTATTATTAGTTTAAACAAGCAAGAGTAATTTACAAAGACTATACTAAACTACAGAAAATAAATGTTGAATTATAAAAGCAAGTGAAAACCAGATTTGTAGACTTTAAGTGAAGACAAAAACATTATCAACACCAATATTACAAAAGAGTAACACAAGTAGTAAAAATACTTGTATCAAGAAGTAGTCTAGGACAATACAAAAATATTAGTGACAGTAAAACAACTATTACAAAGAACATATTACAATGAATTACAAAAATATTATGATTTCTTAAATTAATAACAACATCTAAAAAAGAAACTTGAATCTATATCAAACTATTAAAATATATTCAAACTATAAAAGAAAAAAAATAATAATGATAAGAAATTGCATTTCAAAAATTAGCATTTAATATTCAAAATATTGAAATATACTTGAAAACTCTACAAGTCTACACTCTAACACTTGTCTTAGAAATTGTCAATGAGTTATCTATCCTCTGACGAAGAAAGAGAATACCAAGACCAAACCACTCGACTAGAATTAGCATATAAAAACTTAACCGAACCAGAAAGGATACCAACTGAAGAAATAAAATTATAAACTGCAACCACTACGCCTATATTACGAAAATGATACCCGAAGTGATATTCTACAAAATAGGTTAATTTTTCAGCGTAGACTTTCCGATCGACTCAGTGCCAGAAATGATCATCGACCACGTGATCTCGACATTTTTCTGCCGCGACCAATCTACCTCATCAATTCTATCAATTGTGCCATGGCTGAACTTCAGTCTTTACAGGCCCTTATCAAACGCCTGGAAACTGCTACTACTCGTCTTGAAGAACTAGCTACTTCTGGTACTTCGGCTGTTGCCGTTGCGAGCAGCCTTGGTCGTGACTCAAGCGGGAATCAGCCCACCGAACCCTCTAATATACTTTCCGGTAATGGCACGGCTACCGAGACAAAATCCGTCTCTCTTGACGCTTATGACGAACTTATTGAGGGACCTTTAAATAATTTTATTGAACTCTCTAAAAGCATTGGTGGCGTTGTGCAAGATCAGGTTTTTTTTTTTTACCCGCAAAGCTTTGATCCTAAAGCGTAATAAGAATCTGTTTTAAAAGTATTTGATAATACATTTATTTATTAGAGTCATTCAGTTGAAGGCATTTTTAAAGCCCAACGCGACTTCATATTCATTTCTACGCAGAGTACAAAACCAAAAACTCCTGAAACATTAGTTGAGCTATTTAGACCAACTCAACAAGCCCTTGAAAAAGTTTGCGCATATACAGAAAATAATCGTATTTCACCTTTCTATAATCACTTAATAACTGTGAGTGAGGGTATTGGCGTGCTTAGATGGGTCACATTTGAAGAAACAGCTGAAATGGAAGAAAAACTGTTGTCTCAAGTTAAAGGGTTAATAGAAAGTTCTCAATACTATGCTCATCGTGTAATAAAGGAGTTCAAAGACAAGTAAGTAAAATTTGCCTTTGATATAAATCATCGTTTATATAGGAAATATTTTTACATATTATTTAAATATTTTTTTAGGGATCGTTCTCATGCTGACTGGGCATGATCTTTGGTCATTAATTGTAAAGT